CATAGGGTATCATTGACAAACTGTTTTTCCGACTTTCAATGATTGTGTTTAACAGGCATTATTCAAGCTAAGATTTAAATAAAATTAATTGTACTTTTATAGTAATAAGAATAATTTCTATCAAAATTCATTTCTTACTATTCCAGATGAAAGAATAACTAGGTAATAATGCTGGAAAATGCCTTTACTATGGACAATATTTGATAATAATAAGTAATAAATATTTGCGGGTGAATGATTAAATATTCCACCTGTCAGCAGCTGCAGTCAATAAAACATGGTATAAGATAACACAGGAATTACTACCAAAATACTTTTTAATTATACTGTGACAATACTTTAGATATTCTTCACATTTTGTACGTAGTGTATATCACGCTGGTAAGAGGATAGCTGTATGTAGGTCACTATGACCCTTGACGTCAGTATTGTACTGAGAAGAGGGATGGATTTCATAAATTGGTAGGTAATAGTTTTGGACAGGAAAGAATATTGAATGAAGAAGTCAGGAGAAAGAGACCAACAAGTGGCTAGAGAAACTGCAATTGAGGCTGTGACAGGGAACAATGTACGTCGACACACAATGAAAGGTGTCACACAGATTTCAGAGAATATTAGTGTCTGCTTCCTCTCCCCATTAGTTAAACAAAGCTAACCTTCCTCTAAGCGTGACTTCAATATCAAGCACTATTTATAAACAATATCATCTCTCCCTGTTGCTCCTGCTTTAGAATTTCTAATTGTTAACTCTAATTGTTCCCCTGAGAAATGTCTGTCTAAACTGAGACAGGGCGGTGCTGGGTTAAAAGGCCCAGGGGTTTGAGGTATAGTTACTGGCAGAATGGGGACCTTAGATACCTTGTGTAGATACTTACACAATGATTGGTAAACTAAACTCATACTGTGAGTGATTGTTATTCTTATAAACATTGCGAGACTGCAATGTAAACCCCCTTTCCATCCTTTCAGAAGTATATTTTAAACCAAAACCACTTTTCTTTATTTCTTCAACAAATGTGGATGGCTTCTTCAGGAAATACCTGGATTTTGGAAACAAATACTAAAAGAAAATATATATATTTTATATGTACTGTATATGTGTCTTTGGTCAATCCAAAAACTAGTCTGTAAACAATTTATGATAAACTTTGATAAGATAAAGTTTGATTCATTACGTCACTTAATCATTTAGAATCATATTTTAAACATGTATTTTTGAAAGCCAAACCTGGATATGGGTGTGGTATGAGACACATGGAATGTACAGTAAGGTAGAAGTCAGGTATTCCTTTGTAAGACATGCCTACTTATTCCTACTGTGTTTGCCATTTAGCACAAACACATGCATACAAACAGTCTTGCGTGGGCAGGCAGAGATGCCTCACACAGTGATGCTGTACACAGTCCCATAGGGATGTTCCTCCGTTTAATCTGAAAACCCCAAGACTCATTACCCTGTTTGGCTGATACATTTCACATGTGGTTGTTGCTGACACATTTCCTACTAGTTCAAGTACAGGTAGGTAGCTGCGTCAGTATGTGTAGGCTGCAAAGAAACAAGTAAAGGTTTATTCCATGCTGAAAAGAGAAAGGTGAATCCCAAAGAAGGCTCCTCAGCGAAAACATTGCGTTTCCTTCTTTCTCTTTTCAGCATGGAATAAATCTTTACTTGTACATTTCCTACAATGTATGCAATATCATTTCATTACATTTCACACTCAGTAAGAAATGAAGAGCAGAAAAGGGCATGAATTCTAATCAAAAAGGGCACCATTGTGATATTTACTAGGTGGGAATAAGATGTCACATTATATCAACATTTATACTGGAAATACTTACAGTCTGCAAAGTCACTAAATGAACTCCACCAATTTTTCAGTGTTCAATTTAAACAATTTCTTGTTTTACTTTTGTATTAGAAAAAAGATCAACCTGATTGCAGCAAGATTTAAAAATTCAGTTTCTTTCTGAATAGAGCAAAAATGCTGGTTTTAAATAACTAAAGCAAATAAAGTTATCTGTTAAGAGCAAAATTGTGTTCCTCTGTACAGTTCATGCAATATAGAATGTCTTACACATAAACATTAGTTTTTGTTTTTTAAATATCCAGTCACCATAATTTTAAAATATAATTTTTAGATATTTCAGTAATATATATTGTTATGATTGATTTTAAATTTGATAATACAATTTATGGATGATCCCTGCTTTCAAATCAGTGGCTGATTGTAGCATTTAATTGAATTTGTCATTTTTACCTTTATATGTTCTTTATGGCCTGCATACTGTACATCCATTACAAATTAACACTGGGGAAAAAAGAGGTAACAAGATACAAAATAAATTGTCTATAACATCTGTAGGAATTTAGGAAAGGGCTTGTGAACAGAGCCCCCTGTATCACAGAATGAAGAATAAGACTCCCCTTAAAACTCTAAACAGAAAGTATTCTGCACTTGAGTTTGTTCTTTAAACAGAGCATGCATGTTTTCGTGAAGGAAGTGATGCCCTGTGTTAGGCCTTCACCTTCAAAGGAGGGCAGCTTTCATAGCTAATTAGGACATGTGATGGGAACAAGGAACAAACCAGCAAACAATAGCAGCGTGGGAACCCTGAGCAAGTTTGAATTACAAGCAAGCCCTCCTAAACAAAAAAGTCCCTGTCAACAACCAAGCGCAAGCTTGAGAAAAACAACACAACAGCAAAGTTACTTTGTCATGTTAACCTGGAGAAGAAACAGTACAGCAGCTTCCCGTCATTCACTGCTGCTAAAAAAGGAGTCTTCTTTTCCCTGTTGGTGCATATTAAGTGTGTGCATTTACTGATAAGAATCTGCTTAAGGATCGGGCACTAATAATAAAAGACCCACTGGTGACCCATCATTGACTGAATTAGACTCCTTTCTCACTGCATGCTGCTACTCAGATTCTTTTCCTTTTCTTCCTGATGCTTTGTTCTTCACATTATAATTTATTTTGCCTTTTAAGAGAGTTTTTTCATGCTGCTGCCGAAATATATGAAGCCTGTAATGATGGAAAATTCAATGCCACATGTTTTGTCGTTTAGGCCCTTTTCTGTTCCGTGATCTAAATTCCTGCTGAAGACTGCATTAAGAAACTTCAGTTATTTTACACTTGGTTCGGGCTTGTGCTGTATCTGAATCCACTGATGGTATGAAGGTACCATTGTGGAGGGGGAGGTCTTTTTCTCTTATATTATATCTTTCTAAGGAAACAGAACTTGGTTTTTACACATTGACTCTGTGCTTCTACAGAGAACTGTTTCACAGAGGGAGAGCTGTTGCAGCCAAAGGTTTATTTTAGTTTTGGAAACCATATGAAGAAAGGTTTTCATGGCAACATCAAGTATTTACTAAGCAACTTTAAAGCAATTTTGTTTTGTGTTTTACTGTATACATTTGACTGTATGCACAATAATATGTGTATGGTAAGTGTTTACATAAAAGCTGTTGCACATAAACAGTATAAATTTAGACATTGTTGCTAATGTGCACATATGACAACAGATACAAGTCATAACATGACATAATTCATTAGCTGTCCTAAGTAAGTGGGGCTGTGTGTCTGTTCTAATCATTAGTATTGACCCATGCAGCTGACACTGGGCAATGAATAACGCATTGAGAAAGGGTTTCTGCTAATGACTTTTCAATTCTACAATGAAAGAAGCTCAGCTGGATTGCCCCAGGATGCTACTTGTGTTCACTCTGTTGTCCTGTTATGCTGTTTCTTATGTCTCTCATGCTCCACATCTTGTATCAGGTTACTAAAGTACTTAGTTATCAGAGCTATACTCAACCTCCATTACCCTCACGTGACTCTGCAACACACTGCATATTACACACACAGAGTAACTACACAACAATGGGATGGGGATGTTGTATAATAGTAACATAACTTTCAAATATTCCGTTTAGTTTATGTTTTACAGCACTTTTATAAAGAAAAATCAGGTCTTTATCTGTAATCCCTGCAAACGTGACAATAAGAACTAATTTTTACCTTTTGTAGTGTTCAAATTAATTTAACGAGGACTAAAAAACCTTTACAACCAACACATTTTCTTCTGTTGTTCTCTTCAATTGTTCTACAAGGAAAAAAGCAACATGACTTTGCAAATCAAAATAGTCGTTTTCTAAACCTGTAAACCCTGTGAATACAGTAAGCTTATACCCTAAACACGAACGTTTTGTAAGTGCTTATTCCAGCCTTATTCCAAGGCGTTCTTAAAAGGGGGGCTCTTTTGCTATTGAGGTCACTTGATTTATTAGCTACACCTGCCAAAAAATAGAAACTGAGTTTCTGTATTCTCTAAAAAGGCTGCATTATCAGATGAAGGAAAATGTGTGTCCTACAGTGTTTCGCAATTTTTAGGAGGATACGAGGATTTCTGGTAAAGCTGTTCTGTCATGTCAGTGTTCCAGTAAATAAACACCCGAGTAAACCCGGACCTATAGCTGCAGAGCTTCGCAGTAGAGCTAAAGTAGGACATGCGGGATTAAGGTTAGGGTCCTTATGGGCAAAAGACATTGAATTGAGCACCCCTGCGGCCCCCGTCACTTTATTTGAACCACGGCAATAAACATGCTGTTCAAACAAGCGGCAGGGTGTAGTGTGTTATTTAGTTTAAGAAGGGTTTTGTTTTAATTGCATTAATTCTTTGTTTCACCGCGGTACTCGGACGCCGCTGTCATCTTTACCATACACGCTGCTGCACCGTGAGGTAAAATTAAAAGTCGTTTTGACTCCGTGTTACACTGTAGTCTGTCGGATGAGTTAGTATTAGATTACAGGTTCACACGCTCACTTGCAGACCGCCCGTCGCCCCAACCAATTGCCCCATTCATTCCAGAGCCGGAGACAGCCGTCGCCTCTGATTGGTTATCGGCGCTCAGCGGACGAACTTTCCCACGGCCAACGCGTGCTGACAGTCGGCCAGCCACATCACTACTGGAACAGACAGCCTCGGGGCTCAGGGAGCTCGGGGGGTGGTGCTATACAGTCACACTCAAGCTATAACTCAAGTCATTGGTTATTTCCTCAGAATAGTCACATTATCCTGCCGGTGGTCGTGGCTCGCTCTGGGAGAAGACAGGATACAAAGCTGCCAATTAAGGTGGCTGTCTTGTTTTTTACTGGCTTGTGTAGGTTTCAGGTCCGCCCTGCCGTCAACCACCTCCGCTCCACCCATTTTTTGGGTTCCCTGTCATGTAGAAATGACACCGTGGGAAATAATCTTGGCGTTTTAAAGTGGTGAACTGAGGGGAGTTTTGACAGTCATTCACTTGCAAAGCTTCATATTAAAAGGACCTGTTTGGCGTGGAAAGAGAAGGGATAATAGCGACCCACGGTTAAAATGAAGCGAAATCATGATTACAGCTCTTCGGATAGCGAGCTCGATGAGAACATCGAGGTGGAGAAGGAGAGCACCGACGAAGTTGGGTAGGTTTTCATTTTGTCTTGCTTTTGCAAAACGCAGCAAGTATTTTTGTACACTGTCTTGACTCCCTGTTATCACGAAACGCATTATCATAGAAGTGTGTGAACCCTTGCCCCCACACACACAAACACACGCCGGTTTAAGTCTGTTATTAAAGCAACCCAGTATAGACGCAAAACACTTGACGGTTGATTATGCGGCTATATATAAGTATAAATATAACATGCACATATTTTTCCAAAACGAAAAAGGTGTAGATTTCGCTGCGGAATAAATATTCACCACTTTAATTCTGGTTAATTAAATTTTAGTTTCCCCTTTTCTATACAATGTTTTGACCACGCTACGCTCTGCTTTGGTTTTGGGGTTTTTAAAAAGATCCAAGATACATAAGTAAACCAAACACCTGATGTATCTAACCGGCGAAAGTTAAAGCTTTATTTTTATTTTAGCAATGTTTGATTTTGACTTGCCTCGGCCTTTCCAAATATTTTTAAGTAACGTAATTATCTGGAGTCTTCCTACTATTTTTATGTTTCACTTTACTGACGTTTTAATTACATTTGATTACATTAGTATATTTTATGGTTCTTGTTATTATTAATAATAAGTATAGCTAGACGCGGAACATCCACGATAGTTTTGTACCAAAAGTAATATTGTTCGGTCTAAGACCAAGTAGAAAGTTCTATTTTAAAATCTTTCTGTTTTTAAAATAAACAAAAAGTCATAAGTGATATGTCAATATATATTACACCATCACTGTTAACCGGATTTTACACTTAATGTTTGTCTGTACTGTATATTTTAGAAACGTAAGTTCCCCCCAAGGATCGATGTCTCCCACAACATCATCTCAAGTACAAGCGAGAAAGCGGCGTAGAGGAGTGAGTATTTTCAATACGTGTATCTATAATATGCATATGATTTAATTGTGTAACTATCAGAATACATATAAAACGCATTTACACGCTTATATATATATATGTACTGTATAATATATGACACGGGTTTGTTGCACGAATTCGCTGCCTAATTTTATACTTTACTTGTATCTCCTTTAGATCATTGAGAAACGGCGCCGGGACCGAATTAATAACAGTTTGTCCGAGTTAAGGAGACTCGTCCCCAGCGCTTTTGAGAAGCAGGTAAGCTAATGAAATAGAGCACAGCGGTAAAAAAAACAGTTTTCAGAATGTAACTGCGGATCTTAATATTAAACAAGGGTATGCACATGTCTGTACTATTCCTTCGTTTATTTGTCTGAAGCAAATAGCGTGGAGTTAATATTTTGGTATCCAATTCCTTAGATAGAGTCCTTGCTTATCTGTACATTGAACCAACTTTCAGAAAGTTGCCACAGTGCCTTTTGGTTTGCGAAAGCGCTAAACAGTGGGTGTACTGTAGAAGGAGAACTGTACTGAACTTGACTTAATTTTTTTTTACAACATGAAGGGTTCAGCCAAGCTTGAAAAGGCCGAAATTTTGCAGATGACGGTGGACCACCTTAAAATGCTACATGCTGCGGGTGGTAAAGGTAAGGTGTTTAATGCAGAAATTACTGCTTCACAGCCAATATTATCAACGCAAAGTGCTCAACTTGGTTCATTTAAAAACGAATAGAGCTGATTATGCTTGTATGCAACTTTATTTAAAAACAAGATTTGTTCACTCATCACTCAATAACTGAAAAAAATATTAATTACCATTATGTGTAAATAGTGTTAATACTTCTATTTAAAACGTTTCCCCTTTGATGTATGGAAAAGGTAGTATGTCTTTAAACAAAGGCAAGCCTTATAAATAGTTCTCACTTTGGAGAGGTCTAATGAGAGATTTTTTACCTGAAATGACTGAAATGCCCACTAAGAAACCAGTTCATGGTGGGCAAAATGGAATCAATCACCATAAGATATTTGCAGTCAGCCTGCAAATTTTCAGATTATAGAATAATTCTTTGAATTTCATTTTTTTAGCACACCCAAGTTTGACTAAATGAAAGGTTTATTTCTGGTTCTGTGAGTTTTTAACCCTTTTTTAGTTTGGGAATGCATGCTAACTCGAGCCTCTTTCCTTGCAGGCTATTTCGATGCTCATGCGCTGGCTATGGATTACCGCAGTCTGGGGTTTCGCGAGTGCTTGGCTGAGACTGCCCGGTACTTGAGCATCATTGAAGGGCTGGACAGCGCTGACCCCCTGCGGATTAGGCTGGTCTCCCACCTCAACAGTTATGCCTCCCAGCGCGAGGCTCACTCTGGACTCGGACACTTGGCCTGGGGCTCAGCCTTTGGGACGCCCCCCTCTCATCTGGCTCACCATCTCCTCCTGCAGCAGCAGTCAGCCTCTCGCAGCTCTAGCAGCTCCTCGTCCTCTTCCGCAGAGACCCATGCACCAAGCCGGCTTAGTGCCGCTCAGCACACAGAGCCCAGTCCACTCAGAGTGCCGCCTGGGCTGCCCTTGGTCACTTCGGCCTCCAAACTCTCCCCTCCTCTGCTCTCCTCTCTCTCTGCATTCCCGTTTTCCTTCAGTGCCTTCCCTCTGCTCTCCCCTAATGCCCTTGGCTCCTCTGCCCCCTCAACCACTCTCGGAAAGCCCTACAGACCATGGGGCACAGAGATAGGGGCATTCTGAAAGTTGAGGATGCACCCCTTAACCCCACTGAAGACTAAACCACCAGCTGAGCTGGGGCTTCAAAGGACTGTGCAGAAATCCACCACCTTTTTTTATTCTCATCTTTTTTTTTTTGCTGTGCATGAAAAGAAAAAGGTGTGTAAGAACATGTTAAGTTGAAGAGCCTTGATACAATGAGGTGAATGGCAGATTTACATCTGATCAATTATTTTTATTTTGTGACTACTCTCCTTGTCTCATCCCTCTTGTTCTGGACTCGACAGGGGTGGGCACTCCATATGGTCAGGCTATCGTTTCAGATTACAGCTCTTCCTATTTCCACACACATTCAGGAGTGTGGTGTGGTGATGCTTTGCTGCTGAAGGCAGAGGTGTTAAGATGAGAATTTGCATGACAATGTATGCACACGACTTCGGCAGATAATGACTATTGTCTGAATCCATTGTTTAGAAGGGATTTTCAGGACTGTTAATCACTTGCAACTGATACTTCATTGAATTGTTACCTTCAGCTTCTCAAATGTCCTTATTTAATATAATTAGTTGAAAATATAAATTTTGTGAAAATATATATTTTTTTTACATGAGCTACTTATTTACAAATGGAAAAATAAACTATGATCTTTTACATATATCTGGAGCAGCACAATTAGGTTTTAAAAAACAATTTCAGTCCCTGAGAACCACACTGGATTGCATTTGTCTGTTTGCTTTCCCTCAAAACGTGAAACAAACTCGCCCTCCACTATAACAGTTCTGAGCAATCAAATTACAATCAAAAAGAAGCAAGGGTTTAATTTAGAATTTTAACATTATGCATGTCGGACTTAACTTTCCTTCCCTGAAGTGGTGGCGTCCATTTAGATCTATAACTGTTGCAGCTAAACGTTTTGTAGGAAAAGTTAAAAAATGGTAGAGCATATTTATAAAAATTACATAGTTGTATCCGATTTGTCCATTTTAAATTGTTTCTGCTGTACATATCTGTTTGGCCGGTATAATAAAATGCCTCATTGAAAAGTGATGTTATGTGTTGTCAGAGATGTCACACAGCCATAATACTTTACAAAATTAAAACCAACTCATTATTTTATATGAACATTTCTGTAATTTTTTTTAAATATCGGGGATGCATGTTTTCCATATTAAAACAGCAGCAATATATCAATTACAGTTCTGAGACACTGCAGAGTGTTTTATGAATGGCAATCTGCCCAACTTCAGGAAGACATTACACATCTACTGTTTCATGTTGGTATCACTTTGTGAGGGAAAAATGATTATAAAAATGGATGCAAATTTACATTTGTAAGATATATTTTGTGTTTTATATTTGTGAAAAAAGCGTTGACAAATCAGATTTTCTCAGCTTTTACATTCAAAGATGATTATAGATCAGAATAGGTATAGTACAAGGATGATGTTTTCTCAGAGAGTAAGGTACTGTATTTGATCCTTGTGTACTGATCTGACATTTCTCAATAAAGAAGCTGTTTGTGAAAACCTTGCTTTCTGTTCTTTATTCTTTCATTTTCTTGGTGGCTTTTCTGCAACCTATTTGTTTCTATTGTTATCAAAAAACCTTTTAAAAGTAATCAGTTTTAAGAAAATGTTTCTTGCTATGCCGATGTTACAGAAGTCGCTTTCTTAAAAATAAAACAAGGTACTACAATAGTGAGGACGTCTTTATTTCTGTATCACTAATACAGAGTAACCCTGACTCAAAGCCAAGACTTAAATATATCCACATCTTTTCTTCTGTTTGGCCAGGAAGCGATTAACAACAAGAGGATATCCTGGACAAAGACTGACCAGGCCTTAGGGTGAAGCTTGATGCTGTGTGGGGATATTCTGTAGTGTGAGTAGATTGGTGTAGAATGGAAAATGGAAAAACTGCATCCACAGTAACATGTGGATGTTGACAGCCAAAGGCCATCTCAGTGCTACAGTGTGAGCGTTATACATAGGCTGAAGGGACAATTTCATTTAGTTTGCTACTAGTCCAGTGGTTCTCAAACGGTGCTTAGAAATTACTGCAACCATGGAAGAAAAAAAAGAAAAAATTGGAAAAACAATAAAAAACTTCGAGACTTAATGTGATATAGAATATGAGAAGTTCATTGACCTGATTTTAGACTCTTCCTTACAAATAGCTTTTAATGAAGTGCAGTTGGCAGTTTTGGTGCAGCACCAAAAACAAATATCCAGTATTATCAGAGAAATGCTCATTCTGTTCTTCTCATGTTTGTGACCACCTACTGTATCTGTGTGAATCGCAACAGATTGGATAAACATGAGACTGCAACTCACATCCATAACTCCAGACATAAAAAAAAAATGTAGAAGAGGCAAACTCACTCATCACACTGAGATTGTTAAAAATTATCAGTACTCTTTTAAAAAAAACATCATGTATCGTTGTCTCACTGTGTTTTACTTAGTCATTTTGCTACCTACCTTTGCCATTTGCACCTGTTAATCCACAGAAAATGTTGTCTGGTTCTAGAAATATATTAGTTTTTTTTCCTTTGTTAACGATTTAAAACATTAAAAGTTTTCAAACCAGAATGAAACCCTTCTGGTTTTCTTCTTACTTGGTCAAACCGGCAGTTAGAACTTTGATTCTTTTATTCTCAATGAGTATTTCAGTGATTAAGTTTTATTGAACTGTAGGGGTGCTAGGTGCTACAGGTGGACTACCTGTAGTATGCCAATCTGGAGACCAACTATCATTCTTGTCACTATTACTATAATTGTGTGTCGTACAATTACGTGAAAACTGAATAAACTAAGTGACATCTTACTAATACATTGTAAAACTTAAGCACACTGTCTCTTGATTTAAATTGCACAATTTTTGTTGTATACCCATCCTGTTTTTTTTTTTCATTGTCTCCCCACATGGTCCTCATTAAGATACAATTTACACAAACACTCAACTCCCTTTGATTGTAGTTTCCTGCAGTTCTGAGTCATCTATGCATTATGTAAAGTGTATGTACCTACTGTCACTGTGGATCACTTTGCACATATCAATGCTGAATTTTATTCCATGACTTAAGTCTTTTTGTAATTCTTTTGGTGCTATTTTGGTTCGCCACTCCATCTATTTTGTTTAATCTACAAATTTAATTAGCTTTCTAACTATATCAGAATCTAAATCATATAGATCTGAAACAACAAGAGGTTTACAATGGATCCCTGTGGTATACCACTGCTTACATCTCCCCAATGAGAGGTTAAGCCTTTAACGCAAGCTTTAACGCAAGCTTTGTAAGCTTTGTAAGCTTTAACGCAAATAAATGTGAAAATATTTCTAAGGCATTGTATCCCATTCACAGCATATTTGTGTTCTATGTATGAGACAGACTGAAAAAATGGGTGTGGAAGCATCAGGTGTGAAGGACTGTGTTGTTCTGAAGTTGCATTGAATGGTTGTGTCTCGGAAAGGGTTGTGCATATCCTTGATCTTTAACTTCCTGTTGATCAGAGGTCGTCACTGAGACACTCATTAATCTCCACACAGGTAGCATATGGGATTGCAAGGCAGATCTGACTGGGCCTCAGGCTAAGAGGCATCCCTGGAACAGGGTGCAAATACACAATGTATCATTGCAGCTGGCCACCTGTGTGCAGCCAGTTAACCAATGAGCCCTGAGCAGATTGCTCTGCCCAAACCCCCCAGAAAAAGACAGAGTTGGCATGACAACACCCAGGAGAAGACTCGGAAACCTTGAACTCTACAGTCAGAGCAGCAGAGAAAGGCCCTAGCATCATCTTCCTCCTCTCTCTAGCGAAGGACTTGGAGACAAACAGGGTAGGAGGGAGAACATCAGAGATATGGTTTTCAGGATGACTCTGACTGAGGAGGATGCCTGAAACTGCACAGTGTTTCTTTACTGTGCCATAAGATGGCACACCAGGTCACCACCCAGAGCTGTTGCTAGAGAACAGAACTGGTGGATGGCTCTTTTGGGGCATTTGTTTCTGGTAGCTGGGGTTCATGGGGTACCTGTGCTGGATTGAAATGTGTGCCTCTTGTGGATAAGTCGTGTCAAGTCATCTGTTTATTGGGTGGGGAATCACAGAAATTGCTGTGTTATAAAGTTATGATTGTGTTATAGGAAGACTGAAGTATTGTAATAAAATGGAATATTATATTAGATTATTGTCTTGTCCAGTCTGTTGATGCACTGGTGGTTCTAGGAGACAATAATAATGTCTGGCAGAGGAAAGGACCCTAGCACCTTTTATATAACTATAAAAGTCCTCCATTTAGGGGTCATTATATCTGTGTCTCTTCAAAAAGTAATACATTTTATGTTTTGTTGCACTGTATATATCAGCATTCAAATATTAATTTACAGTTTCCTTTTTTATTCTGTTTCAGCTTAATGATTTCTTGATGGATGACTGTTTACAACATTCATAGTCCAGCTCCAGGAGAGATCCTTCATGTTCCTTACTTCTCTTTAACTCCTTAACTGCTTAAAGACTTGGATAAAACACAGCCAATCAATAAGAGCAGCAATTACAATAGTTAAATCACAAAGATGCTAGAACAGATGAGAGAAAAATCTAAAATCCCCATGGCTCTTGTGAATTGATCATCGGGAATCATTCATTACCCTCCTGTTTTGAGCCAGTAATGGGAAACTCTGGACCCTAAGATTTGTTAAATTTCTTGTTTTTCTTGCTGAAGGTTTCAATTTCTGTTGTATTAAAGAGAGTTAAAAGACCTACAGAACTGTGCATATATGAGCTTATTAGCCATCACCAATGTAGTAGGCAGTAAGGGTTTGCTAATAGCAATGCCAATTCATGTAATCCAGGGTGTAACATGGAGCACAGAACGCACCACAATACCATTTTACAGAAAGGTCAGTTATTTGGTATTCTGCTTTTCTTTGCACTACCCACAGATTTTCAACTAAGAGGAAAATACAGAAAATATTTTTTAAAATACTAAAACCACCCTGAGGGAGTTAAAATAAGTTGATTTGGTTCTATTATCCCTTTAAAATTTTTACCATGATTTATTCCCCAGCAGTTTAGAGTTCCATATAAATAATTTCAAGACAGGTCAGATTAAGTGATGCCAGGGGAGGGACCATTTCATTTCTTTTCAGATTGATTCTGAAGGAGGAAATTGACAAGAAATAGCTCTCAATTGCATTGTTGAAACCCGTTGCTGTGTCAACAAATCCTCACCAGAAATGATCCAAACACAAGTGAATATTGAAAAAAGTGAAATATTTCTGGAATATAAATATCTGGAATTTACTTTTAAAATATATAAGTACATACCTGGGAATGACAAGCTTTTTGCCGCACATTACGCAAAATGGCACGTAAAGGTTATGGACTTACGTAGTAAGTAGTATTCATTATAAAACGTTAACATTTTCAGACCTTGTTTATTAATGTGTATTAACTGCGTCTACCACATACATAGTCACTGACACTTTTTTCTAACCTTCAGCATAAGTCTTTCCTGTCATAGTGCGGAACATCATTATCTTTAGTGTTGTTTAAATGGTTTATTCTTTTTGATAATTAGCCGTATTTTGTAATAATACTGCAACAAGGAAACTAGTACGCGCTGCGTTTAAATCTGTCAAAGGCCCAAACACCCAATCGTACACCACCACCTGCTGGTGTTTTGCGGTATAGTTACCGACAGCTCTGTTCCCGGCCGTTTCTGGGTTAAGCGGTACGCTGGTTTATGCCATGTGACTACAGAGCCACGTCTGAACTTCAAGGAGGTACTGTATGATTTGCTTCCCAGACTATATAGAAGTAAGACATTTTCATTATTAAAGTTCAATACAAAATACAATTCTCCTATCTTCATAATATTGTAACACATACGGCAGACATTACAGGTTGTGCGAGCCGGCTTACCAGCGTGGTGACGTCACCGCCCTTCCCTGTGAATAGCAGGGCCGCCGGGCTGATGGGAGATTTCCTTTTAACTCAACTGGCTGGGTCCCTGTTGAGTAACGCCAGAGGCTCGGGTTCAAGTCCCCAGCGGTTGGGGGCTGACCTGAAGTGGCAGCAGCAAGGGCGCATACCCATGTGAACCTGAGAGCGCTACATTGGTGTTAACAGTGGGATAAGATAGCCCTTAGCTGAGGATTGCAAATTAAGCGGGGAGTGTGTAACACATACGGTTGACATTACAGGTTGTGCGAGCCGGCTTACCAGCTTGGTGAAGTCACCGCCCTTCCCTGTGAATAGCAGGGACCGCAGCCACCGGGTTGATGAGAGATTTCCCTCAGCTCAACTGGCTGGGTCCCTGTTGAGTGACACCGGAGGCCCGGGTTTGAGTCCCCAGCGGTGGGGGGCCGACCTGAGGGTGCATACCCACGTGAACCCAAGAGCGCTACAATATACTCCAATTATTGTCCTTTGTAAAACATATAAAGCAGAAACATCTTACACTCATGATGAAATATGTCAGTGACTTAAATTACTTAGTGCTTGTCTCATTATTTTATTTACTTATGTTACTTATTTTTTTAAACCTAGTTATAGATCTTTTCGAAATGCAAGTGCAAGAATCAGTAGATCTAAGATGAGTGGGGTGTGGGTGGGGGCTCACATTGCATTCCCACGTGTATGCAGGCAGAAAGTCGAACAGGTTGGCAAAGTGTACACACTGAACACAGACACACTTCTTTCAGCTCACAGAACCCCAGCCCTTTATTCGTCACAGCTTGCTCACAGATATATATGGGGAAATAACACAAATGGGACGCAAGAAATGCAGGCAGACAAGAAATCTTCCAAGAGCTGCGACAAAACGAAAGTGAGAGAGCTACGTGCATTGAATGCTTAGCACTCATTCGCCTTCCAGATTCAAAAGAGCAACAACACATCTACCCAGTATCATCTGCTCCTCCCCCACAAACATACACACACACATACAGTAGTAGAGGAGAGAAGCCCCAAACTCCACCGATAAGATTTCTTCACGTCTGTATCACATCTGTAGCACGCCAGCTTTGTGTGATGGATGATGTATGCACAAAAATGCTATCATTTTGGCTTTCTTCTATTCTTCCATAGCCAACACTGCACGTACCCTTACAGAGGGGCTGTGCTGTATACATAGAGGTCCAAAACTTCTCTTTGGCCTTTTCACACTCTAGCGTCAGTACGCACATCTTCATGAAAACATTCCCCATTCGGATTTGCACTGGGGATCTTTTCATTATCTCACAAAAATAATACAAACTATAGCTGATCGCAATATATATATTGTTACTTCAACAGGTTATACAAGCAGCAAAGCTTTATACCTTTTGCACATCCATGATTATATGAGATCTCTCACCCCCAACCAACTGTGCAGTTTCACCTCTACAAACCATTTATAAGACTGGGTCTAAAGCTCAACACAAAAAATTGCACAATCTCCGTATTAATGCTTAAGTAAAGGACCACTGTCCAGTGTGCAAAACGTTTAGAGTAAACTCTTCCTTTCTGCCTGGATTAAGGCAAATTTTGTAGTTCCTTTGAAAAATGATGGCAGTGACAGAATGTTTCTGAGTCCATCCCATACAAACACACACACATCTCCCACCCATTTCCTATACCAGAAGGAAAATTTATCTGATGACACAAAGTGTGATTTTGTTTGAAGGGAATATTTAAGATGAAGAATGGAAGAGTAAAAAATTAAACACTGAAACATAAATACAGAAAAATATGCACCCCTTTTTCTTAAATTAAGAAAATCAATTTCTTTTAAGCCATACAGGAAGTGATCACTAAAACAAGTGCTAAGTCAAATTTACTCATTTGTTCAACTTCACATGTATGAAGTTATTTTAATCTGGCATTTCTGAGTTTCAGATTATTATACTGTATATGAGAGACATTACAACTCCATCATTTAAACCACACATAGAGTCCAAAAAACAAAAGGACAGTTTTTTTGGTTTGAAGCATGCAGGTTGCACAACACTGTTTTGAAAGGGAAACAACAGGTCTATAAGTATGACAAGATATTACAGTAGCTGTAAAGTAAAAAAAAAAAACACTATTCTCACTAATGCTTGTTTTCACTAGAGATGCTCATTTTCCAGTCACATTCATTCTTATATTTAACCCTTAGTTTGAAAGACAGGGGAGCACAACATTAGAGTCAGCTAGCTAATTGAAACAGACCTCTAACTGCAGCTTACAGTGCAATACAATCCCTACCCTGTGCCTTACTTTGAACAGATACAGAAACCGATAGAATCAGAAGACCAGACATCGCAAAGTCAGCTAACTGGCAACTCACAACATCAAAGCCTGTTACAGGAAACGTCAGATTAAAATTAAAATAAATTAAAAAATGCACATTGTAGTACTCTCATTTTTTACATATATAACAAAAAAGGAAGTATTTACAAAACAAGATCCATGTTCACTTTTGTTCAACATCAAGCAAATCATTCGTCTGAAAGGAGTGCGTCACGTTTGATTATGCTGATAAGTGTTGGAGCAGCGTCTCCCACCCTCTGGACACCGAAGGCTTTCTGTCTGCGCTGTGCTAGCCGGGGAGTGAGGCAAAGATGGCGCAGGCCCGCGGCTCATGCTGAGAGCTCCTCCATCAGCTCTTTGTTCCTGCGCACCACAGCTGCATGTCTCTCCTAGCAAGAACACACAACAGTCAGAGTGACCAGAAGCCCTGGCACCCTCAGGGCTGGTCCCAATAGTCCCAAAACCAGCTGGAGAAAGTACTACAGTAATTACCAAGACAAAGACAAAATGTGGGAGTAATGTGATAATCATTACTTAATTGTTTGCAAAGTAAATCATGGTAATTGTACATTGGAGCTTTATGCTTAAGTCATAATATACACAACAGAGAAATAAAAGTGCATATAATAACAATAATGATTGCATTTTTGTAGTACTTTTCATGCAAAAATTATCCCAACATACATCAATATTGAAGGTGACCTCCTTTATCTATTATTGAGGGAAGTACATTTTTTTCAATGCAATCGATTTTTCTAATCAAACACAATTACAAGGAAAGCATACAAGATAATTTTGAAGCTATCTGGCTCATATGAACCACCTTCTTAGGAAATATGTGCAATGTGGAGCAACATCATTTGGTACACAATAAAATTGGGACTATGAGGAGCTTATACTCATGACAAATGACAAAATTCATAAGTTGGCATAGGAATCATGCAGCGTGCTCCTACATTTTGAAATCAACGCACACCTGCCGCTATTCCTTATGTTCATGTGCAATCCTTTCATAGCTCCATATATTACATAATTGTATTTGTAATATTTCCTAACTTCTTAAGTCCGATATATGAATCTAACCCAAGTGGAACATCTGTTTTTTCTGAAATCCCTAATGAACACAAAGTCTGTCTACCTTCTCTTGCAGGCGCTCCAGGAGTGCAGCTAGGTAGGCCTCACGGTTCTCCTTAATCTGCTCCATCTTCATTGTTAACTTCTCTTCAGCCATTTTGCTGAAGTTGCTGTTCTCCTCCAAGGCCTTCAGGAGCACATCTCTCTCATGCTCCCTCTTCTCAGCCAGAGCCTTCAGTATTTGAGCTTCCTGGGACTGGAGACAGAAACATTTTTACAGGTCCATCAGCACCTACAAGCATGTTCTGCATGCTGCAAACTCAAATCATACGAAGGGCAACAATTTATTAGTTTGCCCTTTTTAAAATTTTACATTTCCCAAGACCAGTAGAAAAAGTACTATAGTAATTATTAAGACAAAGAAAACACATGGTACTAACATCGTAATAATTACTGAATTGTTCGCACAGTAAATTATGGTAATTGTAGATTGCAATTTTATGCTTATGTCATAATATACACAACACAGAAATAAAAGTGCATTACTACCGCACTTTACAATCCTTGATCAAATGTTCTAGAGGATCAAAATGATAGAGGTAGTCTTGGATTATGTCTAGCGGTGTAAGTACTGTAAGTACTAATGACACCCTGGATAGGATGCCAGTCACTCACACCAGGGCCAGTTTTCCCAGAAGCCAATTAACCTACTTATTGATAATGAAAAGTGATAATGAACCGATACTGATACCAATAATGAACATCTAGCATCACTTCTACTCTGTGCTGTATTGTCAGGGAGTGCCTTTCATTACAGGACTGCTAGAACATCTTGCAACAAGTTTGACTGAACATTAGTGCACTGCTGATGTCTTTCTGTATTAACATGCTACATGGTTTATAAATTGATATTGTAGCTCTCTCGGGTTCATGTGGGTATGCGCCCTCACCGCTGCCACCTCAGGTTGGCCTCGAACCCAGGCCTCTGGGTTACTCAACGGGGACCCAGCCAGTTGAGCTAAAGGGAAAGCTCCCATCAGCCTGGCGGCTGCGGTCCCTGCTATTCACAGGGAAGGGCGGAGACATCACCGCACTGACAAGCCGGCTCGCACAACCTCTAATTTTGGCTGTATGCGTTACAATATAAAACTGAAACTTCTGACAGAATATTTTCAGAAAAAGATCAGATTCAGAAAGTGGCATGTATAAACTAATATTTTTTCAACTGTATTTCACTCCTCAGTTTATAATGAAACTGTACCATAATAGAAGATACAGTACTACACTACAGTATGCTGTATGTTTTGCAACTTAATTTTGTGTGGCAAGTTTTAAAACATGGATTCTATACACCCAGACATGGATGTAGGCAGAAATACAATTTAAGTTTTAATGATTTTGTATGCATTATTTAAAACACTCTGTTATGAAGGAAAGACACACTAAAAATAATCTGTCTCATTTTGTATGCTGAATGGCTTGAACTTAATTAACATCTAATAGTGTGTGCTGCCAAACTTTTATGGTTGACATAGCTCTTTTCAGTTCACTCATGTCAAAAGAGACCCCAGGCATTAACTTAAATAAGGAAAATGGATCTAAAAATATTTTGAATTATCCATCCTCTCAAGGTCTTTTATCCAGTACAGGGTCACAGAGCCCAGCCCAGCAATGTGCACTAGGTGGGATACACCCTGGATGGGATACCAGCTCATCACAGAATTAAAATTATAAAATTAATAATGCAATATAAAAAGCTAAGGTAAATGACAACAGATGATCAGCACACATTATCAACATATTCCTATTAAATAGGAAAATGAATATGAAAACGAATCATTAAAAGTGTTGATCTCTTGTTTCTAGTCTTTTTCTTAGTTTTTCCTTGGGACACCCTGTACTATCTCTAAGGTTTCCCAAGGGGTCTCAGGACCCTTGCTTGGAAGCCTGCATGTGACAATACATTTTAAATTCAGAACCCTCTTTGTCATCTTATTCTAGAATAAAGTATCAATGAAGAATTTAACTAAATTATTCCTCTTACAATTTTGGTTTGTGTAGCTCTCTTCAGGAAAATGGCCTCTATTGAAATAAAGTGCTGTGTGGACTAAACATATTTGACTCTTCATGGTTTTATAAACTTTTATTCATTATTTACTTAGAATTGTGTTTTCTCTTGCCCTTGAGTCATTTATGAAGGATGTGAAGGCCTGAATCTTAGGTTATCTTTATCCTGTTATCTAAGAAACACAAATACAGTACGCTGAACAGATGCTCAGGTCACTGTGACACTCACTCTCCTCCTGTCCTCAGCAGCTTCCAGCTTCTTCTGGATGTCTTCCAGGGAGATGTCCCTCTTCTTCGGGGCAGAGAGGTTGTGGGCCACTTCTGACACTGGCGAGGGCGGTTTCAGAATCACTTCAAATGCTTGGCCAGAGGCCCTCTTGTTAATAGGTTTGACCTCCATATCTGTCAAAGGGAAATGACATGACAGCAAGACAACGATGGACACATTTCTAAACAACTGAGTCATACAGATATTGATGCCAAACTTTACTCGCTGTGTGTGGCTTGCAAGATACTCTGCTGTACAAAAGCCGAACTGAGTGGTGTAGAATACCTGCAATCTAAGTGAGGACAAAAAGAGTTTATCCCCTCTGAATGGCAAAGCCCAATACTCAGAATGATAAACAGGACCATATCATATCCTTGCAGAATTTTCAAATTTCAGATGGAAGTTTGTAACTGAAATTAATGAGGAATGATGACAACAAAACCACTTTCACCTCAGCTGTTTTAAATCATAATTATTCTCAATGACATTTTAAAGCAATATCTATCATACTCAAATCCCTCTCTTTTGCATTTCATCTGATTAATCCATCCTCCACCCCATCTCCACATTTGCAGCTACACCCTGTGTAACAGTGCCCTCCAGAATTATTGGTACCCTTAGTTCAAGGCTATGAAAAAATGTCTTTGTTATCAGCTTGATCTTACACTGGAAATATGAGGGAAATCTAACCTTTCAGTGGTATAAATATGAGGTAACATGCAGGCCAAACACCCTTAGTCATCCATCAACATGGGGAAGGCCAGAGAATACAAAAATGATATTAGACGAAAAGTTATGTCAAACAACAGCTCTGATGATCCTGCCTGGAAGAGGACACAAGTGTATTTCGCCCCCACACACAGTGAAGAAGATGGTTCGAGAGGCAAGACTTTCTCCAAGGATCACAGTTGGACAATTGCAGGAGTTGGTTGCATCCTGGGGTCACCAAATCTCCAAAACTACAATTAGACGCCACCTCCATGCCAACTATTTGGAAGGCTTACCAAAAGAAAGCCTCTGGTGTTGTCAAACCACAAACATAAGCACCTGGAGTACGCTAAACATTACTGGAACTTTGATTGGAACCGGGTTCTATGGCCAGATTAGGCAAAAATAGAGCTTTTTGGCAACAAACACCAGAGGTGGGTTTGGCATAAAAAGAGTCAAGGTCATGTAGAAAAGAACCTGATCCCCACTGTGAAGTATGGTGTTGGATCTATGATGTTGTGGGGCTGTTTATCTTCCGCAGGCCCATGGAATCTTGTTAGGATACATGGCATCATGGACTCCATCAAATACCAGGAGATTTTGGATCAAAATCTGGCTGCCTCTGCCAGGAGGCTAAGACTGGGTCGTGGCTGGAACTTCCAGCAGGACAATGATCCAAAGCATACCTCCAAATCCACACAAAAATGGTTCACTGACCACAGAAACAAGCTTTTGCAGTGGCCATCCCAGTGTCCAAACCCCACTGAAAACCTATGGTGTGAGCTGAAGAGGAGAGTCCACAAGCAAGGACCAAGGACTCTGAAGGATCTGGAGAGATTTTGTATGGAGGAATGGTCTCAGATCCCTTTATATGTGTTCTCTCACCTCATCCAGCATTATTAGAGAAGACTCAGTGCTGTTATCTTGGCAAAGGGAGGGTGCAGAAAGTACTAAATGCAGGGGAGCCAATAATTGTGACACGTGTTTTTGAGAAAAGGTTTCTTTTTTACAAGGATTTTTTTTTCTTTTAATAATTTTACCTCACTGAAAGGTTAGATTTCTCTCATATTTTCAGTGTAAGATCAAGCAGGTAAAGAACAAAGAATTTTTTTATCTCATCTTTACCAAGGGTACCACTAATTCTGGAGGGCACAGTAACTCATCTGTTTTTCTATTCCTCATAAAATTTTAGATAATATATTCTTCTGCAGGCAATTTTCAACAATATCTGAAAAGAGGTTTGAAGCTCTGTGGCTAAATATGTGTGAGGTAAATTCTAAAGTACAAACTTCTTTTCAGAGAGGTGAAAGGACCTCAAATTTTGCTGTAATAGTTTCTAACTGGATAATTCAACATTTCAAGAACAAAAGCAGAACTTGGAGGAATGTGGAATTGAGGAGGGAGTGGAAATGAGGATGGAAAATTGGGATGGCTATTAAAGGGGCTGCAAAAGAGATTTTATTATTTTTGTGTAAAGAATGTTTTTGGCAGGTGAATTCTTGGGCTTACCTTCAAATTCGCACACCAAGTTGTTGCGATGCTCCGGATAAAAACAGGAGCAGATGAGAGAGAGCACAGATAGCTCCTTCATTTTCTCTTTATATGCTGCAGCAGAAACAAACATCTTTTACAATAAAATAATAAATAACAATGATTTGTCCATTCAACATAAATTCCACATGTACCAAAATACAGATTTCTTTTCCCTTTTTTCTTTTCCCATTTTCTTCATGTTACTTGTTCCACTGTTTTTAATTTCCCAAATTCTAAATCTACAGATGGACTTGATTTGATGAAGTTATTTGTGTTCCATTAAGATAACATTGTACCTAATTAAGGCTTTGTTTTTCAGTTGCAATGTAATATTAATGCCGGGATCATTTTATAATGATTTCTACTATGCAGCAGGATAAAGCCATTAAGTGGCTTAATTATAGAAAAAGATGCATACCAAGGATATCAATTTAGAGTGCATGCCTGAGGGTGATTGTAAATAATTGATTTCCAAAAAGATCCAAGCAGCTTTGAAATTAGCAAAGTTAATCCAAAATTCAGTTCTACAATTACCATACACATTTCTAGGTTCTAGGTTATAAGAATGTAAAGATTTTTTGGCACTCTTGCTATCACCCACCCTGTCCGATTGCATGAGATTGTTGGCTGTTTCATTCATGGAGGAAAATGGTTCCACTGTTTGCATAACATTGGATGGCTTGTTTTTTTTCACAACGTAGAGTAATGGAGTAATTTAGATAAATATAAATTTGACTTCAAATCTGTATTAGGGCACTCAGTGTGTTTGAAGTCTACTTAAATGGGGTAGACAACATGATGCTGGCTATGTTATAAATGTGGGGAGGTGGGGGGTGTATAGGGTGTTTTTTATAGGAGCATAGATCTTTTTACAGTTCTGCAAGCATACAAATTGCCTCAATAATGAAGAATAAATCATATATGATTTAACATCTTAATCAGATTAAAAACAACAGCTACACAATTACGACTAACATAGAAATGCAAATCTGTGTACCTAATGGTTTTTGAATATGGCAGGTGCCCTCAAATTAGGATTTATATAATTTGGGATAGAAGATTCATAATATGAGTTTTCTTTTTAACACATTTATATTCCCGCATTTCATCCGAGTGGTGCTGGGGTTGTTCACTGTCCATAAGTCCTAAGTCAGGACACCAAAGTGCTCTCTCAAGGAAGGTCATAGAGGTGTACAGAACTGGCAGAACCTCCAGAAAATTCAACAACAAATTGTGTCACACTAATAAACTTCAGAAAACAATACCCCTTTGAGATATAACAAGATTTATTTTTATTAAGGTTTAGATAAAATCATTTTGCCACATGTTTCCAACACACAGAAATAGCAGTATAACAAAACAGCTGGCTTTCAACCTAAAGTATTTAATTTAATGTAAATATTATCTGTATCCCCTGCTTAAAACTAACAACTGGATAAGGACTCCTCCAAATTAAACATATTGAAAAAATGAAGGAATTTGATTTAATCATCCCCGTTTTGGTCTAATACAAAAGAGCTTAATGTAACTGAAAAACAAAAAATAAATATTTTTCCCCGATTTGAATACATCAACTGAAGCAAACCCATGGTAGTTTTAGGAACAAAGCTATTAAATTTAAGAAAAATAATTTATAATAATAATTGCTTACACTTATATAGCGCTTTTCTGGACACTCCACTCAAAGCGCTTTACAGGTAACGGGGACTCCCCTCCACCACCACCAATGTGCAGCATCCACCTCGATGATCTGACAGCAGCCATAGTGCGCCAGAATGCTCACCACACATTAGCTATCAGTGGGGAGGAGAGCAGAGTAATGAAGCCAATTCTAAGATGGGGATTATTAGGAGGCCATGATTGGTAAAGGCCAATGGGAAATTTGGCCAGGACATAGGGGTTACACCCCTACTCTTTTCGAGAAACGCCCTGGGATTTTTAATGACCAAAGAGAGTCAGGACCTCGGTTTTACGTCTCATCCGAAGGACGGCGCCTGTTTACAGTATAGTGTCCCCGTCACTATACTGGGGCATTAGGACCCACGTGGACCACAGGGTGAGTGTCCACCACTAACACCTCTTCCAGCAGCAACCTTAATTTTTCAAAGGATGTTTCCCATCCAGGTACTGACCAGGTACTGACCAGGCCCACACCTGCTTAGCTTCAGTGGGTTGCCAGTTGGGAATTGCAGAGTGATATGGCTGCTGGCCATATCTGCAACCCCCCAGTGCAAGCCAGAATCTAACAGGTGTCAGTGCCACCTTAAACAAATAAATTAAATTCAAGACATATTTTGCTATAACTCCTGCACTTTTCAAAGATGAAAAGTGGCAAGCCTAGTAATTAACCTCAGAATGGAACCAGGATTGTGATGATAAAGAGTTGATTTAATTCTGATCACACTGGGGTATCTTTAAAGTCAATAGCAGCATTCCTCTGCAAATATTCCAACACCATGACACAATCATTAAGGTTCTGAATTGACTTTTGATCCTTTCAATAGACACTTTTGCCTATATGCCAATGATATGATTTTAGTACCCAACAATAATGGCTCCAGACAGTACTTTCACACCTCTTCCAGAATTTATTTTTTATATTATTTTCTTAGTGTATATATTTTCCTCAAACATCATGTCAGATGTGCAAATATAAGTTTTTATATGCCTCATAATATTAAGTACCAGTATGAGATTCTTCACCTAATAGTCAGGGCTGGAGCTGTTAGTGTTGTAGCAAAATTAATTTCTCTGACCCCCATAGTTGAGCAAGTATTATCTGAGGAAGCAAACACTCAGGAGTAGAAGCCACTGAGAAGTTCTGATTCTAACCTCAGTGCAAATGACTGGTGCTCTTGGACACCTTAGAAATGTGCAACGGTTATACAGGAATCAGATGTAATATCCAGATATGTCAAAATATCTGCCAAAAAAAGATTTAAAAACTCCTCAGCAGGTAACAGAGTTCCAGTCAGAGTGCCTGCAGTGATCTGTCACCAACCAGCTACAGATTGTCAATACTGATCAGTAGGCTGCTGCAGAGGCCACTGTATGACCACCCCCCTGCTGCAGGGCTGGCCCAACTCCCACACTGCTGTCTGCTTGCAGAACAGCAACTCCAAAGGCAGGACCAAAAAGGTGCCCTGTAGTTTGTGATTGTCTCATACCAAAAACCCACCACCCATTTAACTACACATTCATCTGGGCTGTGTGCCTGAATCTACAGCACTCTATAGTGGCCTTAGATTTGAGGGCCCAGAGTTCAGTCAGTTTTTGGGTTCACCGCAAAAAAAGGGGCCTCTGGATTGCCTCCACTCTTTCGCAAGATTTCTTAAGTACTTTCTTTTAGGAATTCCATTGGCATATAAAAATGATTTAGTGACACACAGACAAATTTAATATAATCTTTTTAACTGTCTATGTGTATCGCTAGCCAGTAATGTATACTTCAGCAAATGATAAATAACTCTACCTATCAAGGGTATAATTGAGAATTATAGGTCGCAAAAAGATTAATATTGCAGCCTTTTCATCTGACACAAAATCTACATTTTCTGTTTTAATACTACCTATTTAAAGAGCAAGTAGAAGCTCAGGTGGATGTCTGTACAGGTCTACTAATCTGTCCGATGAACTAAAAACCAGCAAGCTTATTAACATCATAATACTGAATACTAATACATAATACTAAATACAACAGAATAAAGCAGGGCCTTTTTTTAGAGTCTCTGTTTATCTGTAGATATAGAAAAGTATGTTTCCTTCTAAAACAGTCTAATTATTTAAAGAAAATAGGATAAATACAGGTGCATACCACTTCCACACACGTTCTGTACAGTAAATCCATATTTCAGTCCTCTGTTCACTGTATTAAGATAAACACCTATACGTTAGTGATATTGTGATGGAATTGTACACGTAGACTTTTGTCCTCTTTAGAAATGCTGCACAGATATCTGCATTAATGTTAGAAAATATATTGGAGACTCTTCAAGGACTCATCCAGAATCTGAAACCACAGCTTTATAAAATTTCCAATTCTGATAATGTAGGTAGCCTTAAGAGGCCCAGTATAACTGTTATAGCTAACAAAGCAATGATATAGAAGAATAACTGAGCATAACGTCTTGTTAAACAGGTGCAAAGAAGGGTGGATACCCTTCGCATCGCTATCTGAACAATAGTCACGGAAAAAATTAAGGTAATATCCTTTAACAGACATAATGAAAGGACGGTTCACTGTTTATGCATATTACGGTTCTGCGATACAAAACGATTGTTCTATCGTTCATTTAACTAGATGACCCTGTTAGATACAGAATTACACTGTCACCTTCAGTGTCTGAGAGCAAGCAGATGATTCACAAAGGAAATGCATATGGATGGCGCACCTGCTGAAAACTGAAGATTCCGATCGATAATAAAATGACAATAGCCAAGCCACTTTTAATTCAATGCAGTCAAATTGTTAGTTTGTTTTAATCAAGGCAGTGCCATTGATAAGCAGTGATATTTGTAAATGAATTCAGTGAAAATTCTTTTGAAAGCGATGGCTTCTGTTTTTAACCTCATCTATACATAACATGCAAGTGTATTTAATAAAAAAAACACTGTCATGTGAATATTTAATTTTCTCTGCAACACATCCTTATTTTTATATTTAATGTCTTGGCAAATCTGGTTTTAATAGCACCTTATTCTCCCCAATCGTTAGTAAAACGCCCCGAAATCTTGAAGAGAGCGAGCTCTGGGTGGGGTCTCTCTGCATTATGCTGTAGTAGCATGTGCAGAGCTACTGTAGCGGGTGCGGCGTTATAAATAAGCGGTGGTGGTGCTTGACATTTCCAAAACCGAAATAAATTCGATCTCAGGTATGCACATAAAAAAATTGTTATGTTAAATGCAATTTAATGTAATCAGAATACGATGAAAATAACACGTCTTATTAAGCTCTGTATTCAACGGTGCAGGATCAAGACATTTCGGCCCAATTCATAAAATTAAAACCTTAAAAAACAACGACAATATAAAATATGACTTTTGTAAATAGGTGGTAACATATGCAATTCATTTCATTTTAAAATGCACATGTGTATATGCGAATTTCTTCTCATGCGTCAGTGCTGTTGCAATTGACCGCTCCCTTGCAATTGACAAAAGCCTGAGGTCCTTTGTGTTTCGGATGTCGCACCTACCTGTGTTAGATTTCATTGCCCCTTTTAAATTAGTAAAATATCCTTATTAAAATAATCAGCCTTCTCCTTACCCATTGCGGTTTTAGCCATGGTTGTGGGTACAGTTGTTCGGTACCAAGGAAAGCGGTGCAGTTTCAGTAAGCGGCTAGAGAAAGGACTGAATAAGGCACTGAGTCAGCAGATCAGCGCTCCGTGCGTAAGAAAGAGCAAGAGACAGGACTCTGTGAATTATTATCGCTTTTGTTCACAAGCAGATTGGCTGCTGTGGTCCCCTGACGCGCATCTTCAATCGAGAAACCGCCGTGCTACCGGCATCTTAAAAAACCTCCGACTGATTCTAGGTCGGAATTAGAGTTGAAATTTTAAATAGTTATAATAACCACCACACCCCTCTCATACCACATTTAACGGTGCACCTCAACCAACACCCTAAAAGCCCTGTGCATAACATTACTTTATTAGGTAGATATACTGAAATAAATAAAAATAAGACTGCTATTCAAGTTTTATAATAATATCTGGTGATTAATGATTATTTAAGGTTTTTTCTTTATTGTTAGCTTTATTCTGATTTATATACGGAAAAGCTTTTGGAGCTTTTATAAACGAGTGTATATGAATCAAAGGAGGAAATACAAGTTTATTGTAATGTCTAGCAATCATTTTCCAAAGAAAATGTGTCTAAAATACCGCCTAATTCATCTTAAATATCAGCCATATCACCTTGCAACTCACAACTGCCAACCCACTGAAGCTAAGCGGGTGTGAGCCTGGTTAATGCCTGGATGAGAGACCTCCAGGGAAAAACTAAGGTTGCTGCTGGAAGAGGTGTTAGTGGGGCCAGCAGGAGGCGGTCACCCTGCAGTCCATGTGGGTCCTAATGTCCCAGTATAGTGACGGGGACACTATACTGTAAACAGGCGCCGTCCTTTGAATGAGATGTAAAACGGAGGTCCTGACTCTCTGTGGTCATTAAAAATCCCAGGGTGTTTCTCGAAAAGAGTAGGGGTGTAACCCTGGTCCTGGACAAATTTCCCATTGGCCTTTACCAATCATGGCCTCCTAATAATCCTCCTCTATGAATTGGCTACATTACTCTGCTCTCCTCCCCACTGGTAGCTGATGTGTGGTGAGTGTTCTGACGCATTATGGCTGCCGTCACATCATCGAGGTGGATGCTGCCCATTGGTGGTGGTGGAGGGGAGTCCCCATTACCTGTAAAGCGCTTTGAGTGGAGTGTCCAGAAAAGCGCTATATAACTGTAAGCAATTATTATTATTAAAATTAAAGGATATGTCTATGACAAGTTTAACCTGGCCTGGTGTAGGAGTTACCTTCAAATCAGCATTTTGTGAAAAAATTGGAACATATGTTTTGATTAGTTGAGTCCATTAATTGGTTCACTTACCAACTTTAGCTTTCAAGAGTAACACAATTTTGTTGTTTTCATTTTGAATGAGCTCTAAACTCCTTTCATGGAACATACAGTGCCCTCCAAAAGTACTGGGACAAGAGTTCAAATTTTCCCATGTATGCTGTATTCTCAGGAAATATGGATTTCAAAATCACAAGATGAATATAAGACAAAAGCAGTTGTGTGTTTTTATGCATAAATCATTATACAACAACAGCACTTCTTTTGTTCAACCCCCCACGTTTATATAAGAATATTGTCACGATCGTCATCCCTCCTCTAGAGGGGGCTCTGACCCTTTTGTGTTTGTTTCATTATCTTGTACACCTGTCCCTGGTTTCACCGGTATTATTTCAACCCAGTGCTCTGGAAGCTCGATGCTTTGCATTGGAAGATGGATGCCCAGAGGTCCGCTTAGCATCAAGTCGCCATACTGTACGTCCACGGCTTGAGGGCTTAGGCTTCCGAAAAGCGTCCAGGGCTCGGAGGGCCTGGCCTTGTCATTCTGTTTGGACAGTTGGACAGTTTTGGACTTGTTTGCCTGCGCTACCCCTTTGCACCTGGATCACTGTCGGCACCGCCTCCCTTTCGCCATTCCTTCCATTCCTCACTGTTATTTCCCAGTAGAACTTCTCCAGTCATTTCCGGATTATACCGTCTGCATAGGGTCCTGAACTACGCACTACAAGGAAGTCAGGACCGGCTCCCATTAAAAATATGTACTGGGACAAATGGGGTTTACAGGTGTTTCTAATTGTGCAGATGTTACATGTTGCATACGTTTCACACACAAGAGCTGTGAAGGTCTGGCGTGGTTGAGGTCTTTTGAAACTGCTTCTGAAGTCTTTCTCTTGAATTAGTCAGGAAAAACCAACCTGAAGACCAGAGAAGAAGGCTATTTTGAAAATGAGAGGAAAGAAAATGACCATCAGAAAAACTGAAAAGTCTCTTGGCATTCCAAAATCAACAATCTGGGATGTTTTTATCAAAAAGGAAACTGGAGAAGTCAATAACAGGCTGAGAACAGAGCGTCCAAAAAAGACAAATGAAGTGGATGATAGAAAAATATTTTTGTGAAAAAACAAATTGTTAGTGAAATCAAAAATCTCCAGAGTGTGGGGAGGCAAATTTTGAGCACCACAATCCGTAGAAGACTTCACCAAAAAAAACCTGGAGGCTAGTCTTTATTGATGACTTAACTGAAGATGTTAGCAGTAGGGTACATTCAGACACATAGAAACAGATCTTGTCTGCAAATGTAAGAAAAAATGGCACCAGACTTATTGGGTGGCAGTTAATTATGCAGCAGGACAATGACCCAAAACATATTGCACGCTTAAAACAGACAGAAAATAAAACATTTTAAACTGGCCAAATCAATCACCAGATTTAAATCCAATTGAGCAAGTGTGACAGATTGAAACACTTGAAAGGGTTGAAAGTTTGGGGTGGTTTGGGCGTTCTGAATATTGGCCAGTGAGGATCGCTTTCGTTTAGGAAAGTCGGCAGTTAATTAGTTTTTGCCTGCTCAGGTATTATAGAGGGAGCTCATGCGGTTTTCTTTTTTTTTTCTAGCGTTCGGTTTTCAGTTTTTTTTCGGAGCTCGCGGTTAAACGGTTTAGAAATAAAAACTGCGTGTACGTTTTAATTCTTTAATCATCTCCCCTTTTTGAGGGGTGTAACACAAACATTATATTTGTTCAAAAGGAGACTGAAGGAAGAAAGCCTGACCAACAAGCAACGGCTTCAAGAGGCTGCAGTTAAAGCCTAGAAAAGCATATCAAGTGAAGAAGTCTGGTGATGTCAACGGGACGGAGGCTTGATGCAGTTATTGCAAGCAAGGGATTTGCAACAAAAGACTGATTTTTCCCTTCTTTAATTTAAAGTCCCAATATTTATGATCACCTAAATTTGGGGGGGGGTTTGAACACAGCACATGCTTTAGTTGAAAAATTGTGTGTGCAAAATATATCCTAAAAAGAAAGGGTGACCTTCTGAGCTCAGACTCAGAAGAATTTCAGGTTCTTTGTGGATACAACAGGGAAATGCCAATTTTAGGTTTTTGTCTCAATACATTTGGAGGGCATTGTAATTTCTACTTAGTGGCCAAAGTGAAATTGTTTCAGGTGTTTTAAAAACGGACAACCTAAAACATTAAAGATACACTGTATTTAACTGCAAGCTTAACAACGTACTTGTAGGACCTCATTTATAAACTACTGTATGTTCAGTTTCAGGTACCATAAGAAAAAAAGGATATTATCATCCAAAAGTTCAAATAACAACAACTGGAATGCAAGGATTATGCCTGTCTCCTGACACCAGGAATCTACTGATGGGGTAGGGTTTTAAGAAATATCCATCTACCCATTTTCTAACAACCTCATCCAATTCAGGGTCACAGGGGAGCTAGAGCCTTCTGAGGCGCAAGAAAGGATACCAGTAGTATAAAGCGATACCTTTCATCAAACTTTTTTGACAGGTGCCACACCCCCTTTTTCAGCCACTGGGAGTCCACGGTGGGGCCGATGTCCCACCCCCTCAGGAGCCAATGGTGTGTTGTTAAGGGGCAGATGTCCCGCCTTCCCCCTGCTGGTCAGGCCTGAGACTCATGGTCCAAAAGCCCCAGTCACCGCATCCCTCGATTTATAAATAAGTGTATGAAAGCATGTGTTAGGGTTGGAAGGCGACCATGTCTTCTGCGGGGTTGACCACTCTATTATAACCCTAGGGAATCAGGGAGTTACGGCGGCGTGGGGAGTCTGGTGAGGGCCACGAGATCCCGGGGTGTGAGCGTCAACAACCGCGGCCAGGTGGCCAAGTGGTTGACCCTAACAGCAAGTCTCAAAAAAAACATCAAGGGCATGTAAGCACTCACATACACACACAGTGACCACGTAGTCTCATGGAAAGAACTCACAGGACAAATAGCATGTGAAATGCGAACCACTTATTTCATGAATAGGTTTTCAAACACAGAAACATCGTAGTACACACTTTTCACAAACGTTAAAGACTCCCGTTTTCAAGCATGTAAAATGCGAACCACTATTTCCTTTATAGGTTTTCAAACACAGAAACATCGCAGTACACACACATTACCTGCTCCCGTTTGCAATCAACAATTAAATGTTGGTGCGGAAAATTAGTTCGGTACACATAACCACCACCCCAACATTGCTTAGGACTTTGAGGCATCTGAAAAAGCATTCATAATGCCCTTCCGCTCCCCATGTCTAAAACCATGTGAGCCGCATTGGGCGATTTGATCGAGCAGAGCAAACAAATTTGCCTGAATAATCAGCGGATGGTGTTACCACAGGTTCTGTGCAAAACACGTTGTATTTTGGAATACAGACTGCAGAAGCCATCAGGCTTCCGTTTCTGATCTGAAAACATCAGATCTGCAATAATTTCACTCATGTTCTTGAAATACACATCTATCTGTTTAACAAATTTAAGGACATTAGCATTCGACTCTTTGTTTTTCATATCAAGCTTTGTAGAAAGAAGTGTGTAAAGCACTCTTTGTAAGAATTCAGACGTATACATTCGAAATTCTCATTCTTCGGACGATGGCACACCCGGGTCTGTAAAACAGAGTGAAAGCTCTATTCACATGACGTGTATTTCACATAGATCTTTTTTTTGCATCTGTAAAAATAAGAATAATGTTTCTTTTGCAATGCATCACAAGTTACATCTACTAATTTTCTATCTAGCTGTTCAAGTATGGAGCGTACATGCTCATATGGCAAGCAGTCATAAATTATGTTTTTCAGCAAGTGTTTTATGCTCCGCTCAGTGTCATTTGTAATGGTGTATGAACCCAGACACCTGGCGATGTACAGAACAGCCGATAAAATTTGGGCTAAACTGAGAGACTTATAAATTTCTAACGCAGCAAATGTCACATCTTCAAACCCATCTGTGTAGTCATCAGCCAGGCATGTGTGACCCCGTTGACCGGGGTGGTCAAACAGGCCGGGCATTCAACAACCAGAACCCCCTTTAAACAGTGTTTGAAGATGCAATAAACTACTGCTTTCACAATCTGGGCCATAACATCGGACTCATTAGGGACGTCGTTAGCTAAACCTGGTTGAGCATCATCATTAACATTTTGAGGAACACACAAGCATAAACACAAAACATTCAGGCGCGATGGTAGTTTGAAGATTGATGCTTCGAGCTTTTCGTTATTCTATTAAAGGGAAAAGAAAAGGAAGGCTTAACAAAATAAATAGACATGGTTTGTACCTAAAATATCTATCATTTAACGCATCTTTTGTGTTGGGGTTTTTCGTTAATATTTACCATTTGTAGCGCTGTTTCATCACCACTCCCTGGCGGTTCTTCAACACCAGGTTCCCCATCCGAACTCACAGGACAGCCGCTGTCACACGTCGCAGAGGGCGGGGTCGGGTTTTGCTAAAAAGAAGACCAAGTATTAAAATGACATACGCTAAGCGCCGATTGAAACAACAATTCCACGATCAGAAAATATATTTTAGCAGCCTACCTCTTCACTTTGTAGAGCAGAGGAACCCAATGTTTCTCCACACAAAGAAGCCATCTTTGTAACTACCAACACCGGGATGGTGTCTGACAATTCCAGGGACACGCTGCACCCCTCAAGGCGGAGCGTTTAAGAATATGAACCAATAGTGTAACCACACCTACATAACTCAAGACATTTTTCAATTGGTTGTGGTTTTAGAACGACCAGCCGCATCTCTCCACACTCCTAAACACAATGTCACGTGTTTTATCGAGAGCGAAAAGTATTCACTTATCAGCTTATAAGTTTTGTTTTAAACTTTAAACGTATTAACACACAACACAAACACAAATGATGTGTTTGCCCAGTAAATACATTTTTTTCGTATACACTTTTTAACACGCGTGGATTGGTCTTAAAGTTTTAAAATAATGTAATAAGACACATTTAGCTTATTTTTAATAACACATTCGCGACAGCTTTTCAAAAGTTTGAAATTAATTTCCGCGCACCGCACGCCTAAAGGTCTGTAAAAGTATTAACAGGCAACAAATGATGTGTTTGCACAGAAAATATTTTTTTTAACACGCGTGGGTTGGTCTTAAAGTTTTAAAATAATGTGATAAGACACATTTAGCTTATTTTTAATAACACATTCGAGACAGCTTTTCAAAAGTTTGACACAAACGATGTGGTGTTCTTCATGTTTTAACGGACTGGTCTTAAAGTTATAAAATAATTTAATAGAGATCTCTGGGGGGTCGGTGTCACGACAGTTAAAGGCTCTGGAATGCAGAGACAGTGTATGATTTTATCTGGCAAACACGTGGGCACCCCTTCCGGAGTCCTGGGGGAGGAATGTGGCTGGTCAGGGGTCATGGTGCCAAAATTGACCTCCTAGCGAAAGTTCATATAAGTTTTAAATTTTAAGCGGGTACAATTAACAGTGACAATAAACGGACGGATATAGGAGTTATAGTTTTTCATTTGTTTTAAATGCTGTTTTGTATATACATTTTAGGTTTATGAACACGTCGCTATAAAGAATAAATACATTTAGCGATACCGTTAAAAAAAACTCATTTTTCTGAATAATATTCTTAGAGGTCCGTTGCTGATTCAATCACAGACACCGGGACACATTTTCACCACGTTTTAACAGCTATGAAATTTAGACACAGTTGTATGTCTTAATATAGATTTTAACGTTATAACGGTCTAAAACGTTTTCTAAAAATGTTTCTTAAAATAATTTCTACAGCCCAACACGTGCACACCCCATGATACCTAAGGTTAAAGGATTTATGGGGGGAAACGTGTTTCTTAGAAGAGGATGTTTATCGGGGGGTATAAGAACCCGCGGTGTAACATCTGAACTCCTGGCTGGATTCCAAGTATTTCAGTCTCGTCTTATCGACTAACTTGTCAGAATGGATCACACTAATCAAATTCAACAGTCTGAAGACGCTGTATTTACGGACTTAACACTACTCGATTTGATAGACGAAGACGAGGATTTCCAACATTTCCCAGGTATGTATATGGCTTATTTTGAGATAAAATTACAACGTCACGGTGCATGTCTCATGTTGACGTGTTGATAGCTAAAGATGCAAAATGTTGTATAATATTTGTATATTATGCAATATTGAATTATTATAATGGAATTACACGGGAGTTGTTCAGTAATATAGCAGTGACTGCGCGTATCCATTCTTTTCCATTAGGTGCACCGAAAACAACAGCTGACAAACGTCCGGTTACGGCAATACACCGCAACGACAATGTTTTGAATAACGCTTTACGGCCATGTCCGTCTTAAAGACACACGGGTACTTTCTTTACATCAATACACCCATGTGTCTATTTCACAGACGGTTGTGAGGGAACGAGCTATAAGTTTAAAAAAACTGTGCTTAAAATACCTCCTCAAAACCTTGTGGAGACTCAGGCAGAACCCGAACCTTCAAAAAATAAACTACGACGCATCGCTAAGACGTTAACTGAAACAGCAAACTCAAAACGTTTCAAATCAACAACCAAAGGTTAATATAATTTAAGCGTGGTCAAGATGTGGTATGAACCACTTTTTGCAACAGTTACTTCTTTTGTTAGAATGTTAATTTGTTGAAAGATCCTAGTTCACATAGTTTTCTGTTTTGGGTTATTAAAAAGTCTTATTTTAAAACTGCTTAGCCTTTAAGACTTCATATTTAAAGTTAAAAACGACTGATCTGCGTCTTGTCTATATGCTGTTAACCTAACCGCTTGCTAGTGGCGCCATCACTGTCTTAAAGGAAACCGGTGTAACAACATCAACATGGCCGGGTAGCTTGTTCCATTCCAGAAATAATAACGCATTTAGAGACTTGGCGTTTGGTGATGTGCTAGATTCAGTGCGGTATATTACACAGTTACTATCAACTGTGAGCATTATGAGGTGGATAAAAAGTTAGATTTAGAGCATCTATGAGCGGCTTTAGCAAGTGTACATTCCGTGTTTCCAAAACCGATCCAGGCTTACGCTGCTAGCCTTTTAGACGTAATTTCTAAAGAGGATGCAGCTCTAAACGCTGGATTTCAAAACCTGGTAATGCTATTTCATGGTTCATTGGCGAAGATCCCAAGGGATAAATGACTAAACATGCGGTCTAAAAAGTGTTTAAAAGAACGACCTCTTGCCAACATCAAGCGTTTGTACGTTAATAAAAAAAAATAAACTGGCAAAAGCATGTTTGTTGAGATGTAAAAGATTCAGAGAGAGGCATCAGATTTCCCAAGGGCACCCCGAACCACACGATGAGAATGCATTGGTGGAAAATAACTTAGCGCGCCGTGGTGCTGTATCAGAACAGGATGGCGGTAACTTTGAAAACCGAGAACCGGTTGTGATGAACGATGTGAATCAGGTTGGTGATGTGTCGGTGCGAATAGAGACCCCTTAGTTTTCCTTGAGCGTATACGTAGTTATAACCGGTCTTATAATAATTTTAGAGCAACAGAGCACTATGAAGAATTTTGTTTTGTTCATCTTGACAGAATAGCGTCGTATGTACAGACTATAGACGCTGTGCATGGTGCAGTCCAGAGAATATTGGATGAACTCTCCAAACATAGGGGTGAATGATTTTGTACAGCTGCGTTTGTCTTCTGGTGGTTTTAACAAACCCTTGTTCTCACGCAGGAGATGCCCCGGAGAATTAAATGCTGACAATTTTTTAAACCACATCTCAGACCTCTTACAGAGCCACACAAAAGTTCTCACCAATGACAGCAATGACATTAGTGGTGATGATAGTTAGGAATATGCAGGGGGGTGCCCGCAGAAGATTTAAATCCGTTCTTACAGCAGGGTAATTGCTCGGAAAAAAGCACACCTTATCGATTTAAATTACACGGGGGTTAATCTGTGTTTCGCCGGGAGTGTGTGCGGTTTGTTAAATAAAGGTTGTACTGATAGGGAAATGTTACAGGGCGCTAAACGAATGCACAAAGAGTTGGGTTTTCCAGAGAATCGGAAAATTAGTTTGTCAGACATTACAGCTTTTGAAAAACATTTAAAGGTGGTCATTAAAATTTTGTACCACGCCGGCAAATTCTAAAATACTGTAACGCTTACGGCCGACAGGCGCTGTGTAAGAGCCGGCGTACCAGAGCGGGTGACGTCACCGCCCTTCCCTGTGATAGCAGGACCACAGCTACTGGGCTGTGGGGAGATCTCTCTTTAGCTCAAGGGGCTAGGTCGCTGCAGAGAGACGCGGAAGTCCCGGGTTCGAGCCTCCAGTCGGGATGGGGCCGACCAGATGCGGCAAGGGCGCCCGCCTGAGCCCCTGTTGCGTTACAATACTTTTTGTTCTACTGCATGAAGAGCATTTTTATGGGGTTTTAAATATTAAAGCTTTTGTGGGGGCGGCGTATTTTGGGGGTTTCCTGGGGCTAAGGGTTATTTTCCACACTTGATGAACACTTCAGAAAACCAAATTTATGTAGGCCCGATGCCGCCGCCAGAACTTTACGGCGTTAACTACATGCTGCCGAGCGAGAAAGCTGAGTTTTTGGTTTGGTATGAAGAATGCAAGGAAACTGTTTAACTAACAGAGATAGTTAAAATGCTCCTGCCAGCTGGATGTGGCAATTCTAAGAGAAGGCTGTGTCAGGTTTCGGGACGAGGTCATGAATATGACCAGACAGGCGCGTGTGACTAAGTCGGGGGCTACCTGCGTTGTGTGCATCGACCCCTTTTAGTTTATGACTATCGCTGGTGTCTGCATGGCCATGTTCAGACTTATGTTTTTACAGGAAGAAGCGATAGCGTTGCTACCCCATGACAATTACCACCGCCAGCAAAAACAATTTTCTACACCCAGCATTCAATGGCTTATGTACATCGAACACACAGAGCATGTTAAAATCCAACACGCGTTAACCACACGTGTTGAGTGTGGAACCAGAATTCAAGGTTGGACAATATTTTCTTGATGGTTATGCTGTAATTGATGGAGTGCAGATAGCCTTTGAGTTCAATGGTTGCTTTTTTCACGGTTGTAGTGTTTGTCATTGTGAAAACGATTTTAATCCGCTGACAAACACTACTTTTGGTTGGTTGTAAAGAAAGACGATGGTGAAAATTAATTTTCTCAAAATGAAAGGTATTAACGTGCGTGTTTTGTGGGAGCATGAGTTCAGAGACATGCTTGTTGAAAATGGAGACTTGGGTAAATTTCTAGCAGTTGCGCAGTTACCAGAGCCTCTGCAACTGCGCGATTCGCTTTTTGGGGGGAGAACAAATGCTATTTGTTTGCATTACATCGTACAACCCGGTGAAAAAAAATAATTACTATGATTTCACCAGTCTGTATCCGTTTGTGAACAAAACAAAAAAATACCCACTGGGACACCCCAGGATAATTTATAACAACTTTGGAGATTTAAAATGGTATTTCAGTTTAGTGAAGGTGAAAGTTTACCCACCCAAACGTTTGTACTTTCCAGTTCTACCAACCAAAATTGACAAAAAAAACTGTTTTTCACACTGTGTCGTACGTGTGCTGAAACAAAACAGACCACTCCCTGCGAGCACAGTGATGAAGATCGTGCTTTGACTGGTGTCTGGTGCACTCCGGAATTACA